TATATAATATAAATATATCTATTTTATATATATAAAACATACATAGGCTGATGGTAGACAAACTGAAGTACCTCTCTTTAGAAGAAAAAAGCTTCCTAGTTTTGTTTTTTTAATACCTCTCTTTACACCAGTACTAAAAGCGCAGGAAATGTATCCTAGTAAAGCACTTGCATATAGTCTTCATAAAAGTGTGATTAAGGTTAACTTCCACTGTCTTCAAATATTAGTCCATTTTTTCTATTCATGAGCTATATTCTAAGAGACTTATGTAAATATTTGGCTCTTGTCTAAGGGCAACGATCTTTTGATTATTTAGGTTACACAAAGACCGTTTCTCAAGAAAATGAGCTTGCAATTTTAACAGTTATTCTGTCTCCAGCTGGGAAAAAGACTTGGCATTTCTTCACCTCTGCTTATATAATTCTGCGAAATACCCACTGTGATATCTTTCACAGGCTTTAGGAGCGCAAGTCCTGTTAGAACCCCACCCTAACTGCCTGCACAAGATATAACAGTAAGTCCTAACCAGCTGGTTCTGTTCTCAACTGTTTACTGCTAGTTAGGCTACATCAGGTATTTTACAAACATCCAGTCTGTATTCACCATACCTAATGAACATAGCCAAATCAGCAAAGTCACCTTCTTGACCCTGAGTAACAGGATAGATGCAGAGAAAGACAAATCCATACACAACCACAAAGAGCAGTTTGACGCAACTCCTCTCCACTGACTGTCATGAGAACTCAATTTATTGCCTCCAATTAGGTGGGATGAATGTGTACCATCCTTTTTTGTTCAGTGTAAAAAGATGAGGACTGATACCGTTTCATCACCATTTAGTTTGTCCTTATTTTAAAGATAACAAACCAGAATTATTTTTTACAAGAATGTAACAAGTAGAGATGTATGAAAAGGTTAAAAGTAATCACTTTTTCCTCAATTGAACAATCTCTGAATATCAGATTTAACCTATGCTGTGAAATGTGGCTTAAATCAGATGCTATGATTCTCCTGTTCTCCAGGAAAATCATGTTTCCTAAAATATTTAGCTACATTCCTTCACAGTGTTGCTAGAGTACCTACCTAGGCTACCGGCTGCTAGTGCAGACTGCAGAGCAACAGCCAGACTTGGAACCATCTGCTGGTAGTACACGGTATCAGAGCAAACACACGCTGTAGCGCCCACAGGTCCTGGCCAGCTTCGGATAGGCCTAGGAAACCCAATCAAAAATACTGGCAGCGTGAAGAGCGGCAGCAAGGGAGAAGAAAGGAGCGCAGAGATAGCAACGAAGGTCAGCAGGATTGGGAAGAAAACGACATTGAGTGTGATTAAGGTGGCGGTAGATTTACGACGTTGTTTCTTCTCTGTCCACGATGTTAACAGAATAGCTATGGCAAACTGCAACTTTGAGACAAACTGAAGCAGTCGATCCCGTAGGATACCAACCTGCAAGATACATACAACAAGCATGATTTGTAACCTGTATCCTATCATATTCAGCACTGCCAAAGCTGCCTTATCTACAATAATTAAAAAAAAAAAAAAAAAAAAAAAGAAGTGTGATTATCATTGACTGGTATTATAGTGTATATCTTAGTACACAGTTTTTTAGCTTCTATTTGCTAGGTCCTGGACTCTGTAATTCTCTAACAGGGGAGGGCAAGGAAACAAAGACTTTAAGTGACAAATATCTGCTTAAATTTACATTATGACAATTACCAGCAAGAGTCTGATTCCTGTATCAAGGCTCCTGTTCCACCAAAGGTCTGGATTAAACACCAGCATTTGTGCTATTGACACAAGCACTATGTCCAGTAGGGCATTTTCTGTATTCTGCCAGACCTAAAACAGAAATATGTTAGACATATATTTAAAAATTTATTTATCTATCTCCGCTTTCATGACCTGGAATATTTCTTCCAAGTCACCTTACTACTGAAATCATGTAGAAGAGAATTTCTTAGGCTAACGTATTTAAAATTCAAATTACCATCCTAAATATTCTTGTGAATCCAATGCAAACAGACACAGAATGAAGATTTTGTAGCGAACGGTCTAGTGACAGGAATGCTATCATAGCAAACGGAGACACTGTAATTGAAATAAAAGAATCATTGATTTGCTTTTGAAAACATACTTAAAGTCTACAGAGGTAAGCAGTCTTATTGCAGAATGGAAATCTTGACATAAAAATAGAACTCTTCCCCTCATTATTACAAACTCCTCCTTATATTACACTTCCAGGATATCAAACAGCATATTTGCACTAATGGCCCAAGATGGCAAACATTTATGTCGATGCTTAGTTGTTACTTGTTATTACTTTTTTTTTGTTTCTTTGTTTCCCCAAGAGTAATGGGAATACTCAAATAAGTAAAAATAAACACGGGAATAGTACTCATCAACCCACTTCCCCAAACTGATGCTTCTTTATAAAATTAAATAGTTTAGATCAAATTTTGGTTTCCCCAAAGTAGATACATTTGTCCCTAACCTACCAGAAAGGAGACTGTTCCCTTTACTAGCAAGTTCTAAGAACCAAATACTTAGTCAGCTTGAAGACTCTCAACTCACTTTTGTTTCCGAGTACCTTTTAAAAACCTACAAGAGCCATTTTCTCAAAAGTGAGTACTGATGTTGTAACTAAAATCCTTTAAAAGGCCTTCCTTTCTGAGCTGGACTTTTTAAAAGCTCAACTTTTTAGGTTTACCTCTAAAAAAGAAATAAAAAAAAATCACTCATCACTCCCAAATATTCTGAACCAGTAATTTTGACCTCAATGCACAATTTAGAAAAACATCAACAAATATTTCCAGCTATTTGTTTTTTCTTAGTTCATTGACAGAATCTTGCACATACAGTAATTCTAGTGTTGTTTCAATCTTCCTACAAGCATCATCTAACAAACAACAGACAGTGCGTATTCCTACCTAGTGTTAGTAAAATCCTCCTGACAACACCAACTTTCATTAGCCTTCTTTGCTTCTCCATGAACACAGTCACAGTCCTGACATCCTTTGGATAAAAGGGGTTTCGGAAGACTCCAAACAAGTACACTCTCTGAATCTCTCTAAGAATCCACATAATTATAAGTAAAATGATCAGAATGTAACTTGCTATAGCCTGAGGACTGGCTTTGGAAAATGATGAAAAGCCTGCAAAGTGATGCAGCAGGCTAGCTTCTATGAGAGCAAATGTCAACACAGTCAAATAAAAAATAAATTCCCTCCACCCAAATTGTATTCTAAGACCTCTGTGCATATTTTTGGATTTGCTGGAGGCTAAATGGCAGATCATGGTGTGTTTGAAGGCAAAACCAATCTCGCTTAGGTTAAGACTCAGTATGAACCCAAATCCAGTCATGAAGAGGATCACACCAAGAGTGCTGGGAATGAAATACGATGCTATTGCTGTTCCAGCAGAAATGAGAAACATTACTAATAACCTGTGAAGGAGAAAATAAAAAAGATTTGCTTGAAAAGAAAAAGGTTATAAACAATATTGATGTATTTTACAATTATATAAACAACATTTACTTTGTGTTACTTGACACAGGTGAACCTCCTAGTCCAAACTCCAACAGCTGTTCCATTCCCCATAGAAAAAGTGCGTCAAGTGGGGGCAGAATTCCCATTGCCCATAAGAACGGCAGAAAAAGAAATATGATGTGCAAAATCTGGTTTGTCTGTTCTAGAATGGCTGTGTTGACAGCAAACCTGGATAAAAGAAGAAATGTATTTGACTTCTGTGAAGGAAAAGATAACTGATGTGTGGGAAGACTTTTTGTTTAACTACTACAGCAAATCCAGAAGTATAAACACTACACATTCAATCTACAAAACCTCAACCTGATATCTTTTAAAAGGAAAAATAATGACATAAATTTATGCTTGGGGCAGTAATACACTAATTAGAACATCAGACTACAGGCTAATTTTTCATTCAAAAGATTTGAAGCCTTCAGATTATGCAGATGAATCACGTGATGCAAGTATCTTAAATTGTTTTGATACAGCTGTGATAATACACTCAAGAAATACTTATGCAAAAAGAAAGGTCCACAGGCTCTAAGACCTCAACCATTTAACAAAAAAAATGCTAAGTATTTTTGCAGAATTACAAAAGCAAAACTTTATGCAAATCCAAGAACCAAGATGTAAGCCTTAACACTGAAAGAACTGACATGTTGCCCGTACACCAAGAGATAAACTCTCTTTAGGAATATAAAATGTTATTTTCTACATAAAAGTATTAAAATCTTTCTGTAAAAATACAGAGATCAGCATTAAAAATCTGCATAAATTCTAAGCCACACGTAGTTCACCAACTAGCTAATTAAGTTAAAGGTAGACTGCTAAGATACTTGGTTTCTCTCTACTTCTTACTAAATAAGTTAAGTAAGCTTCAAAGGAATTTTGTCAGGAATTTAAAGAATGTCTGAATTTTCTCCTCAGGAAATTCGATAGAAGAATTTGGGGTCCAAGACCATGAGTATAATTTTCATATCCTAATTGAAGAGGCAACTAGGGTAAATCATTAACAAAGACATTTCCAAGTGCAAAACTAGTAAAATCAAACTTTTTTTTTTTTTTAAAGCATTTGAAGTACCCCAACCATAAAATACGTACACGTGACAAAGTGATATAAACATCACCTGACAGGAAGAAAGAATACATAAAGTAAATTTAAAAGCCTCTTGCTTTAAGAGATTCTATAAATACTTTATCTAAGACTCTCGTATGAAAGTGGAAATATAAAAGTCTCCTATTTGTAGACTGACATAGTTCTTTTGTAACACAAAAGCATTTAAAAATCTGAGTTCAAAACAAAGATATAGCAACGTTCACATTTGCTTATCCACTCATTAAAACCAAATTTATGGTCCTTTTTTGCCTGTAATTTATAACGCTCTGCAATCACTTTGCAGAGACTGAAACAGAAAATATTCCAGGATGAAATCTGGATATAAATCCAGTGCTCCTGAAGTTTGCAGTGTTTAGATCTATGGTTCCAGATCAGGAACATGTTTTTTGAAAACATACCCTTTAACAGGATGTTGGTGCAAATGCCCTTGTACAAAAATACTGAAATTGACACTAGAAGATAACTTTAGCTGTCCCTTACTTAGAAACTGCTCTTCCTAATTTACATAGAATGCTATAAAAATTTAACAACCTTTTATGCACAGCATAGAGCATCAATTTTTACCATATAGTCTTCTAGCTTCTTTCTTTGGAGTTCCTACACTTGATTAAAATCTCAAAATAAATTTTCCTCAGAACAATTTCATGTTTCTCATAAAAAATATACAGAATAACCATTACTTTTATTAGCTAAATGCCGTATTAGGTTTACCTGTGTGCAAGATCCACTGCAATAAAGACAAAAATATAGAAAGGCCTCATCAGAGCAGTGATTTCATAAGTATCCAGTGCTTGGAAAGCAGCTGTTTCGGTAGCTGTATTTATGATTAATGAATACTCTCCTATACATATAGTCACCCATCCAAATACAAAGATCATAACAGTTCCTCCAATGTTGTTATACAGCAAGGTTATTCTGTTTGGCAGCAAATACCAAGTTCCCAACCCACACAATACCCCTGCCAGAAGGGAATGAAATACAGTGTTGATTATATACTTCTTGCCAGGAATAATAAATTTTACTGTCTCTGAACCTACACAGCTGGAAAATTCAAACTCATCTTCATCTGTTAGGGTATTCTGAATTTGCATTCTTTCTACTCTCACTGTTTTCTGTTTTGCATATAGATTCGTCATCTGAAGAATAAGTGCAGTAACAAACATCAGTCCTCCCGAAAGTGCTGCAGTATAATAGTCTTTCATAATGCCCAATTGGTACAAAAGTGTTCCTACTCCTCCCAAAACCCATGGTGTCAAGAAAAGAATAATCTGATTCACGTATATATACGGAGGGGCACAATAGCCTAATTTAAACCGGGGACCTCCCAGCACAGTCTGTGGAAAGCGCTTCAAGAAGAACTCCTGTTTGTAATCATTCAGCAGAGGTACATCTGGACCC